GCTGTCCCCTTCCAGTGAACCCTGTGGCAGCTGAGATTCCAGCTCAGAGGAGACTATCAGTGAAAATTCCCCCTTCACAGATAATGGCCTCATCAGAATGAATGCTGGGTGGCTAGGATCTAAGGCCAAGTGGCACAGAAAGAGTTGGACCTTGGTCCGTCTTGCTTCCAGGGTCTTCTTGCCCATATTCTCCCTCCACCCCGACCAATCAGCAGCTGCTGTCCCTTTCAGCCATTGGGTCAGCTCAGGCAGGGAGGGAGGAAATGGGGCAAAGGAGCCAAACAAGCTGAGGGAGGTGGGAAATTCTGATCTCTGCATCTCCCCTTTGTGAGGGTTTGTCTACTCATCATTCCTCTTTTGAGAGACAAATGCAAATTCAGCTGAGTGAAATTGCAAATGAAGTGGGGATTTGCATAATCACGTCTGGCCACCATTTCAAAATATGCTATTTTAAAAGAACAGGCGCTGTTATGTCGAAAGAAAACCCTTTCTTCAAAATCACCCTTAATACTTATAAAATGCGGTTTATGGGTTATTTCTGAGGAAGGGTTGTCTCCTGATATAAGCATATCCCAACAGCATTTTGTAGTTCAAAATACTTTATTTTGAAATACAAAACGCTGTTGAGATACGCTTATTTCATATTTAATACTATATTTTCAAAATAAAGTATTTTCAAATAGCACTGGTGTGTGAATATGCAAATGAAGTGCAGGATATTTAAATCCCAGTTTCATTTACAATTTCATGTGTCTACATTTGCATCCCTGGCAGGATCTCTGGGCACTGGCACCCCCAGTGAATCACAAGTGTGTGTGGCGCTGGCTCTGCTGTCCCAGCAATTGCAGCAAGATCCCTGCCTTGCCAATGCCAGTCACAGCAGCCTCTGCACCTGCTCCAGGCTTGTGGTTTCCTTCTTTCCAACCCTCCCCAATCAGCAGTTCCATGGGTGACCAGGGGAGGCCTCTTCTGTATTCTAGAAGGATTCAGGAAAACATGACAAAGGCTGCAACAAGGCACCACTGGGATTTGAACCCAGGATTTCCTGTTTATAAGGCAGGCACTTTAGCCAGCTAAGCCATGGTGCTTTTTGTGGCTAGTTACCCCCACAAAAGACAAATTCCCTTCTTGGCTATATACCAATTATCGATCTTTTCCAGGATACCTTTTATATCTGGGAAAAACTCTGCCGTGTCCATGGAATGGGTCAACTTTTTAAGATCAGTTTCCAAAACAGTAGGTGTGTTCTTTCTGAAGGCCTGTATTCCTCATTGTATTAGGAGGAATAAGGGCTCTTCCCAAAGAGAAGGTTTTCCGCACATTTGGGCCCATGTAGATGGGCCAAATGTCAGAAAAGCCTCTTCTGAAAGAAGAAAAGTGTCTCTAAAACCGTTCTAATTTATGGTCCCAGACAACACCTTTGAATTCCAAAGTGCAACCATTCCCCATCAGTCTGGGAGGGGTCTCAAGGCCTATGCAGCCCAAGATATGCGATTGGTAGCTCATACCCACAATCTTTTTGTTAATTGCTGTGCAACCTAAGGATAACTTGCTAAGTACACACTACAGTCTGCCACTCTACCAGCTGAGCTATTGAAGGGTGCCTGAGTGCCACTGGTTTGTCCATGTTGGCCCATCTACAAGTGTCAGGGCAAGTGCTCCCCCAGGTGGATGGCATCGCAGGTGAGAGGCAGAAGAACCCAGGAGCACAAGGGTGCTTCACATGCAGAAGGACCCCTGAGCTAGATCCATTCATGTCACAGCAAAAGAAAATTAGCTGGGTTCTTCTCCTGGGTCTTTTTTTGTTTCAATGTCTCTAGGGGTGCAGGAGGGGCAGATCCACAAAAAAAAAAAAAAAAAAAAAATGGATTGAGTGAATCTTGGGCCAGCCTCTCACTTGTGCTGCTCGCTCTCCCGGACAGATCCCAAGGCAATAGCTTCACACCCAATGGATGGGTTAGCAGAGGCCTGGGGGCAATAGGCAGAGTCTGGCAGCTGCTGGGACCAGACCTGAGGGCATCAGGGGAAGCAGCAAGAAACACAAACTCAGCCCCCTGCATCTCTAGCCAGGCTGGTAGGTTACAGGGCCCTAACACATCTGAGCCAGCAGGATGACAGACCAAACGCCAGTGGGCGCCAGACACCCAGAAGAAGGCACAAAAATCTCTTCTCACCAGCCTGAGGACAAGAAATCTAAAGCAGGAGGGTTTTGCAACAACCAGCCTAGGAAAATTCCACTGACAGTTAAACTCAGGTTGCAAAGTTAAGAGCCCTGAGTGCTGCCCCTTGCAGCATGGGACAAACAGCTGATGTTTTTGGTGGGCACCTGGGGCTCTCAGCTCTCAGGCTGCCTCTGCTCTCCTGGCTCCCTCCAGTTGCCTCATCCCAGCTGCTTGTTTATTTTTTCCTTTTATTTCAATACCAGCTCTAGTAGAAGCCGTGTGACACTCTCCCCTCCCCCATCACGGCATGGACAGGTCACAGCCCCCAACCAGACTCTGAAATGGCCCCCTGCATTTCCTCTGGCCCCATGGGGTTGACAGGAAAGAGGCCCAAGGCCAGGCTGGAGCCAGGGGAAACAGGAGGCAGGAAGACCCACAGCTCCTCTTTGCGCAAAAGCCTCTTGTGCAAAAACAGACCCCAATTAATTATGCAAATGAGCATGGCAATATGCTAATCAGTACTTCATTTGTATGAACTTTTGCAGAAGAGAGGTGCAGTATGGAGATAGCCTAGGTGGTAGAGAGCCATGAAGTAGGAAAAATCCCTGGGCTGCAATCCTTAGTTACACAAAATAAGAATAATTCACCAGCTCAGACATGATTTCTAAACCCCCAAACAAGGAAAATAATAAAACCTGATGGACTAGGGAGACTACTCCCTACTTACACATTTCAAGAAGTCCAATACTAACCTGTACAAGAGTGTGTGGCCTAAAGGATAAAGTGTCTGACTGCAAATTGAAAAATTAAGGGTTTGAGTCCCTTTGTAGTTGTATTTACCTCCATTTGTCTGTGCTTGTGGATCCTGCTATCTTTGGCCTGGAAAGGTCCTATGTAGCACTGTGGTTTTTCTGTAACCCTATTGGAAGGCCTGTAGGTATTCAGTAGGGCTACGTCTACACTGGCCCCTTTTTCGAAAAGGGCATGCTAATTTTAAACTTCGGAATAGGGAAATCCGCGGGAGATTTAAATATCCCCCACGGGATTTAAATAAAGATGTCCGCCGGTTTTTTCCGGCTTGGGGAAAAGCCGGAAAAAAGTGTCTAGACTGGCCCGATCCTCCGGAATAAAGCCCTCTTCCGGAGGATCTCTTATTCCTACTTTGAATAGGGCTTTATTCTGGAGGATCGGGCCAGTCTAGATGCTTTTTTCTGGCTTTTCCCCAAGCCGGAAAAAAGTGGCAGGCATGCT